TCAACGTCTATTTTTAGTAAATACAAAAATACATGACAAAACCAATCTTACAGCTCCCGCTTATTTCAAAAGTTCAAGATGAATAACATAATCCTAATCTATAAAGAACTTACTTCCTCAAATATCTTTCCAACGTATCTGGTTACAAAATCAATACTGTGGATCCGCTTGGGAGAGAACAAGAAAACACACACTTTCACTCATAAAGTATTTTGTGTTAAATTGCAAAAGTTTCACTCACAAAGTATTTTGAGTTAAACTGAGAAAGCCAAGTACTACTACACAAGAGCTAACACATGAATCCAACGTTATTGTACACATGAAGCATTCCCGAGAGGTGCAGTTTTCTACGGAAGTGCTTGTTATTTATCCTTGAAATTAATATTAAGGAAGTTTTGCAAGACACTTCATGCTCTTGTTATATCTTAGTTCAGACACACAAAATTTTGAATGTAACTATCGTTCGACTCTTGGACTAATGAAAGGGAAGTTTTTAGAAGCTTAACTTATGCTAAGTGAGAATTCTACTCCATGAGATTTCATATATTTGAATGGATGAATCTTAGAAATGAAACCTTTGCTTGTCAAGTCAAGCATTGCAAATGAATGTGTGGATAGAGCTTGTGTGAGGTGACAATTGCATATTGTTGCAATAAATCTTGATTTTGTGTACTCTTGGATACATCCGTGATAAAATGAGAAAAAATTTGATTCATTGTGTGCATTTCAAGAGAAAATCTTAACTTTTATGAAAATCTTAACTTTCTTCATATGCACTTGGTAAGAATAACTTTATTTCTCTTTTCTCTTCCTACTCTGTGTGTGAATCCAAGCGTTGAGCTATTGTTTGCTTGTCATCCATCATCATTGCGCATTAAAATCTGCATCAAGTTATTATGCAACACGTAACTTTCTTTCGTCAATGTATCTTTTTCTTTGATCATTTGATTGATTGACTGATCTTTCACTTTCCACAATTTCTTTAAATGATATTTGTCAATAATTAGTTTGAAGCAATATTTCAAAGTTCATAACTTGGATTGAGATTGATACTAGTCGCTTGGGATTAATTTATAGTCAACTAAGAGAGTCATGTTAAGATGTCATGTTTATGTGTGATTTTGCTATGTTTTGGTAATTTTTGTTAATGATGATTAATGCTTGAGTTGCAGTCACACATTATTGCTATTTACACAACAGCTTTCATGACATGTGTCATCAGTGGTTGATACTCATTCTAAATAAGAAGTGTTTTTTTGTCATTTTATTCATAGGTTCGAATCCATGAGATTTTATTCATTCATATTAGGATAGACGAGTATTAGTTATGTAGCATGAAGTAGTATCTTAAAAGAAGATACTACTTCTTGACTTGGCCAAGTCAAGGAATTATTGCCAAATCAAATCTTTTGAGTGAGTGTGTGAAGAGAGTTGATGTGAGATTACAATTGCATGTTTTTTTAATAATCCTTGAATTCGTCTTCCCTTACTTACATTCTTGAATCCTCTCGTGATGGAATTTTGAGATCTATCTTTCAATCGCAATTTGAGTGTTGTTTTTATGTAATATTTTATCTTCTTATTGAGTGTTAAAAAAATTATTTTTAATTCCATTAATATATGTTTTGAATGTGATCTTTAGAAAGAAGTTTAACTAATATAGCATTTTTGCTCACTATCATTTAATCATTTGAATCATGAGAATACTATTCGGTTGATGCTATCTTCTAAATTTCTCAATTTTGCAGCCAAATTATGTATGATTTACTAACTATAATCTCAAGTTTGAATAATCATTAAAAATAAAGTGCATGATTGCTTAGAACAATTAAACTAAGTATTTAATTTGATTGATGTTTACATCTAGACTAAGATACTGTAATTGGAAAGAAAGTTTCAACCATCAATCAGAATATTATAAATATTACAATATGATCTTATATATAACATACTCTAATTTGAAACAATATTTTATCAAAGATGAAAATCGAATTAACATACACACCATAAATAACATGATATTGAAATTGAAAGAAATACAATTATTATCTATGCTACTCATTCTCAATAACAATGGGCTTTACAACATACATAATTGATTCATGTAGATTATACTTGCGCTATAAATATAAGCTACATAAGTTCCATAAGATGATTTTTGAACAATCAAATTGATATATAGAATAATGTTACACTTAAAACAACTACTCAAATATCTTTGCAAATTGCATGCACAAAGGATGAACAAGAATGACCAGTTGATTCGTTATATTGAGATGATGAGTGTGTCGAGGATTAGATGATACAGATTTTTCTACAATATTTTTTCCCCAGTTGTGTAGATTCCACTATTTACTTTAGTTTGAAGACTTCTGCATCAACTTATGTCTATTTTGAAAAAGCTCTAATCAGCATTACAATCTCAATTGATGTATAACTCGCGGTCTGTTACAGTAACGGTGGAATCATATAGAAGCATGGACATTTATTTCTCCTTATAACTTTTTTGATTGAATTATATGAAGATGTAGAAACCAAATTATTTCACTATTTTAAACAAATGTATTTATGTTTCATGCTAAAAAACACTGATTGATGGAGTATATATATCGGGTTTCACTTAGACATCCTTCTTATATACAGTGTACACATCATGATCATAAAGAAATTGGAGTGGAAGATTAGGGATGGCCACGGTTACGACCGAACGGGTTCAATTCAACGGGTTTCATGATTCTGATTGGCAGGATAACCGATTCAAACGCGTGATACCTCTAGACGGGCTGGTCAGTCGAGATCTGTCATCATTGACCTCAAGTTCTGAATTGAACTTTCCTGTCTTCTTCTTTGTGGATGTATCGTCAGAACATAACCGTAATATGTGCATGTCACGATTTGTGACAGATATTGCATAGTTTGTGTCACGATCAAGGTGATGGTACAGACAGCGATAAGGACTAGATGGGCTGCGAGAGAAAGCCCATTTCTGATGTGGTCAAAATGATAGCCATGATAGATAGTATACTCGCTGAACTGGAGCTCAAATGATAAACGAGGATGTCCATGGAGATAGCCCATGAACTACTTCTAGAGAAGAAACTGAACAATACATTTCGACGGTGGGAATGGGCAGCTTCGACCAGAAGGATAGATGTGTGGATCAGCTAATAGTTGATAGTTTCCATTCTGACTGAGAAATTCTCACCAAATATGACATCAAGCTGGACACCCACCTATGCATGCATCCTATAATTGATGCCATTTGTCATGGTTGACCGCGGATTACTTGGTCCACTACATGAGCAAGGGCCTAAATTCGATCGAAATCCGGTGTAAATGAGTCCTGCGAGAACAAGATGACGCTTACCCCTGCCTTTGCTTCACAACGGCTTGTTGCGCCATGGTTTCGGGATCTCCGGCTGACTGTCATGATGATCACATCGATTAACAGAAAACTACTCCGCCTCTTCCGCTTGTATGCGAGATGCATACGAGAGCTCGAAGCTCCACCTCGGCAATCGGTATTTGCGAGTAATCATCTCCGTCTTGATGCAGGGTCACATTGACCCAGCCTGGAAATGCGTTGTGTGAATGCTAGTTAAAAGTTTCATCTCCCAATAGTGTCACCTCTTAGCAGTGACATTCTCCGAATTTAGAGTGATTTAAAAGTGAAGAATCATTATATCATAATTTGAAAATCTATCAAATAATAAAAATGAATGAATGAAAAATGTCACTACTTTCTAATAGTGACATAACATCTCAAATAGTGACGGTCTTTGGCAAATATTTGTGACGTGCTTTGATATTTTCAACAAAATTCTTCGGTTTCATAGACAAAGTTCGTAGTACAACTTTGGAGCACTCTTCACGAACGATATATATTCACTGGGAGATCTCGTGTCAATGTGTCAGTTCACAGCAAGATGTTATATTATCACATAACTCTCCCTTTCTCTCTTTAGCAACATGTAATATAAATGTTTACTTGTACGTTTTGAAATTTTCATGTCAGGTTATTTTCATGTCATGTTTAAAATTCGTGAATGCCAAGGCTCACGAAGGGATGTGAGATCTGTATCCATGAAGTTGACTTTATCCCCAGAGTTTCTATTCCGCCCGATCAAAATTCGGAAGTAAGAGAAGATATGTGTTAAGGTTCTTTCGGATGGAGAAAAGATGGGATACGACATAAATTTGCAAAATTGTCGTGGGACTTGAAAATGGATAAAAACTTGGAGAAGTTTGTGTCACATGTGGAACAATTAATGTAAAACACCTCTAACTGTACACTTCGGACGTGAACCTACAAAACCTCCTCTACATGACACCTCCGATTAGTGACCCTTAATTCTAAGACCGGTACCTGTCACTATTGAGAGATGAAACTCTCTATGGTTTTCCATCATCAGCTACGCGTTAGCGACTGATCTCATGAAAGGAAGGCCGAGCAATACTCCAGCTCACGAGAATTACTGCGCCAAGGCCCGACCGCAGTCAACTGCATAGACAGGAGCCGGAGTCCCTGAAGTACAGTTTGGCCCAGTGATCACTCGATGACCTCCTCGCGAAGACGAAAGCGGCATTGCAGTGATTGCAATGATTACGACTTGTCCGCTGTACTTCCACGGAGCTGAACACGCAGAGGTGACAGATCAGTGCACACGACACACTCACAGATAGCGAGATGGAGTGGAGGCTGGAGCTGAGTCTAGGCGGAGTGTTAACAATGTTCGAGTGCACTAGGCGGAGGTTAACAATGTAATACTCAGGCGTTTCATTCCGGCCATGTGTGTCACACGACCGAGGCTGTATTGCAAGGCAGACGTGGATCGAATCTTGATAACCCAACTTCATTGCGTGCCTTGAGTGCACCTACCTATGAGGCAAAGATTCCAGATGAGCAGGAAACATTTGCATTCCAGAAAATTCAAATGTGCTTCCCCGAGGACAAAAGATACAAGGGATAGGATGACATGCATCCGTTCGAAGGACAGATCAAAGACTCGAATTACAGATCGAAGTGTTTACTTTCAAGGAGAATGCTGCGATACAAGGATGAGGATGATGATTACTCTACAGTTCAGGTAATTGGGTGTCTACCACATTACTCCTTATCCCGAATCTCCTCTACTACCCTTTACAAACTGCTCTATCGACGTGAGTTGCTTCACATATTGACTGACTGGAAAGTACAGGGTCCTATAGTCGTACCGGTGCGTTTATAAGTTCAGATTAGCTTCAAATTTACAATGTGCGTTTATGCTGGAAGGTCGGGTATGGCCCCCTCGACCGTAGCGTTGGCGACGAGTTCTGGCATCTTGCTTTATTCAACATCATCAGTTGAAGATCGTGTCTCGTGCTGGGCGCCTCAATCTGGGATTATGAAACTCAACCCATAATCCAGACTGCCTGCGAAAGACTCTCATAACTTCAGCGTTCACGACATCAAAGCTCAAGAGAGTGACAGTGACGGAAAGAATTCTCTTGCCACAACACCTCGCTCGCTATCGGGTCTACGAGTTCCGAGGCCAGAGACGTACCGAGAACAGAATCTGCGTGGCTCTGCTTGCAAGGGGCACAGAACCGCCCATGAAGAGTCCGAAGTCGTAGATAGCGTTCGAGTCTACGATTCTCACAAGTACCATTAACAGGAATCCAGCCTTTCTCGAAAATTTACAAGGAACGGGACGTGCCTGGGGCTCGCCTCGCCGGGCACGTTTTCGTCTTTCTTGGCGGCCCCAAATTCATCTACAATGTGTCCTCATCCTTCACGAGCCTCATCTCATTTTCATCTCAAAATCTCTCTCATTCATTCAGAGAACTGCAAGTCGGAGCCTTCGCTTCTCTCCTGTCTCTTGCCTACATCATCGTCCGACGGGAACTCAATGGTTTAAAGGGGGAGGGAGGGGTCGATTCGACGTGACGGGCTCTTAATCAAGGCGACCGCTGCTCTTGGTGCGGGCGTAAAACCGGCTGAAGCTCGTGGTGCTGGACTCGGAGTCCCCGCCCTCCTTGGTGCCGTTGCCGCTGCTGGAAGAGTGGGAAAAATCGGATCGCATCGGGCTCGTGCCGCGGGGGCGGAAGGGCAGCCCCGAGGCCGGCGACCGGGCCGGCGAGGCGGGCACGGACAACGAGCCGAGCAGCGAGAATTCCGACGCGGCCGGGGTGCCGAGGGCGCCGCCGTACTGATAGTTGGGCGTGGCGCTGCCCATGCTGCCGGAGTGGTGGTACCCGTTACCCTGCTTGAACTCGCCGGTGGTGGCGCGGCTCGTGTAGGACGCGCCGGGGTAGTGGTGGCCATTGGGCGTGGCGGCGCGGCTGCTGCTGCTGCTGTGGCTGTGCTGCGGGGGGCTCGGGCTCGGGCTCCTCCGCCGGTCCACGAAGGGGCTCCCGGTCACGGAGTTGGCTCGCGGCGTGCTCCAGGGCGTGCTGCTGTCTTCGCGCGATCGCCCGGACGGCGTGCGCTCGTGCATGTCCGACACCATGTTGTTCTCGGACAGCGTTTCCTCGGGTTGCGATTGCGCCGCCCGATGCTCTCCGTTCAGCGTTGCTCTGTCGATGGACGAGGCCGTGTCGGACTCGTACGACGCATCGCACGAGTCGCGCGGTGAGGTTAGCGCCTTGAGCTGCTTTCCGAGGTCGAGAATCGATCGCTGGCACTCCGCTAGCTTCTCGGCTGCAGACGAAATCTCCCGCTCCTGCATTTGCCAGGCACATTCGCTTCAGGCCTTCCCTCGAGCCCTTCTTTGCCTCAAACTTCCGAGTCCAGCGAGAGATCAAATTAACAAATTCCCGAGGCCGTCAAACAAAACCGCACCAGGTCGGTGGATCTCCGCCCCTCAATGATTGACCTTGCCACAGACGTGACGGCGTACACGGGAACACGAGACACCTATGATCCTAAGCATGTAAAAAAGCATTCTTAACGACTCCAACAAGATCATTCATGGCCTCGGTGGGACGATCGGTCGACTGCGTGATTCGCCGAGCGAAGAGAGGTAGAATGTCAAGTTTACCTTCCGAAGACGGAGCTCTGATTCATCTACGGATTGGTGACGCATGTTGTTCGCTCCCCAATCTCCATCTCTTGTTATCGAGCCAGCTGAACTATCGCTGCCACCACCATTACTGCAAGTGAACGAAAAGCGCATTCCACATCAACAAACTACTGGACGCGTCAAAGAAAGGGACCGGATCCATGCTTCGAATTCATCTCCGAGTCGAGGTGATGGGCAAGCTGGCGTAGCATACCTGTGAAGCTGTTGTTGGTAGTCGTGGTACTTGGCGACCACCTCTTGGTATCTCCTCCTCTCGGCCTGAAGTTCGCCTTCCAGATGGGCGACTTTCTTGTGCAGCACGGTGACCTCCCTATCTAACTCGGCCTTGGCTGTGGCCAGATCATGCAGCTCGATTTCTATGTGCTCGTGCGAGCCGTGCACTTCGGAGGCCAGCTTCTCCGCTTCCCGCAACTGACTGGATGTGGCTTCTAATCTCTCGTTGGCGACGTCGAGACATCGCTGCACTTCGGCTTTTTCGAGCTTGGTGCTTTCGAGCTCTGCTTCCAGGCCGGACAAGCGACTCATCTCGGCTCGCATGTGGGACTCCAGAGCGGCCTTTTCCGAGCGTACTCTTCGGAGCTCCTCTTCTTTCTCCCTCGAGCTCATGCCATCTGCCTGGCTCTCGATCCTCTCGACGAGCTGATCGACATTGCGCGTGCATACGTTCACCAGGAGGTTGAGGACGGCGGTGAGCTCCGCAAGGAAGTCCACCATGTCCGCTTTGCCCAGCAGAAGCTTGTTGCTCATCACAATCAAGCCCTGCATGTTCCCATCGAGCTCCCGGTTCTTCCAGTGGATGAAGGGAAGGATCTGATCATGGCCCGATCGGTCGAAGGACGACGAGTTCGAGTGGGCTCGAGATTTGCCAGAGACTTCGTGCTCCGATCCGGTGGCTTGAGCCATGGCTTCGACAGCCCTCACCACTCGGCGGACGATGGCCGGCAGGTCCGACCCCATGGTGCTGGCTTTGGACTCGGCGTCCGACAAGACTGATGCGAGGTCCTCGTTGGCCTCGTACCCCACCTCCGACGAGCTCCTCGAGGCCATGGAGATCTTGCCCCCATTGCTCATGCGCCCACCGTTGTGACTGCCCTCTTCATCGTACAGAACCGACTCGTTGGCAGCTCCATTCCTCAGCGAGATGGACTGCGCTTCCACGAGATCCTCCAGAGCTTTGTTGATTTTGGCTCCCTCGTCGGTGTGATGAGACTCGCCCAGCTTGTCCAGCTTCTCCTGGAGCCCGATGATCGCCGATTCGTTGGCCGCATTCCGAGACTGCAGAGTCGCAAGGTGTTCTTCGGCCTGGGCCAGCTTGTGGCTCAGCTCCTGGCACAAGCGATTGGCCGCGTCCAGCTCTCGTTCCTTCTGCGCCAGCTTCTGGAGATACTCTGCGTTGTCTTGGCCGCTCGAGCCGTCCGCTTTCTTCTCGGAGTCCGATGTCTCCGAGGCCATCGCCAGCCTCTCCATCTCCGCGAAATCGTCCATGAGATCCAGTTTGCCCGGTCCGAGCTGCTGCTTGTCAGTGCCTTTCTTGAATTGGTCCAGTTCGGCGATCAATGCCGAGGCCGCCTCCCAGGCATCGACAGAATTGCTGTCACTGCCGTCTTTGATCATGAATCCGCTGTTCCTCGATCCTTCTCGCTGGTGAGAGATCAAACGCGGAGCGCTGGTTCCTTTCACTCCAGATCGAGCAGCCTCAAGCTGCTCCTCCACGTGCGAGAGCTTGCTCGCTGTTTTCGCACACATGAGGCGCGAAGCTTGAAGCTCCACGTCCCTCTTGGCGAGTGCCTCCTTGAGCAGTTTCAGCTCGTCGTCCATAGCTCCCATCCTGTCGGCGAGGGCGTCTGCCTCTCGATTACTACTCTCCTGGTAACTGTCATGGATCGACTCGAGCGCAGAGTCAGAATCTCTGGAGGTGGTACTCCTTCCCAGGGACCTCCTCCGCTTGCCATCGTACTCCTTGCTTCCTCCCAGGGCGTCGACTTCCTGCTTCATTTGCGCTAACGCGGCAGGTCCCGGGAGTTTCTTGCGGACCAGAATTCTCAGCCTCTGGCACTCCGCTTCTAATTTGGCAATCTTCTTCACATTTTCCAAGTGTTGCTTGCTGGCGATGTCCGTGGCTTTCCTTTCATACTCCCTCTCCTCGTTTCTGATCTCCAACTCCTTGTTCTGCACGTGAAGCTCGTACTTCAAATTAGAGTTCTCCTTCTCCAGAGACTCCAGCCGGACTTGCAGAATCTTGACCTCGGCTTCGGCTCGAGCTTTGGCCTCGCCCACCTCTGAGAGCGCCTTGGTTTTCTCCTGTAATACGTTCGACATCGCACGAGCCTCCCCTCGCGACTCCAGGGCTTCGGCACGTGCTTCCTGCAGATGCTGGCCGAAATCGGCCAACTTGGCCTCCATCTCCTGCCGGAGCTTGTCATACTCTCTGGTCTTCTTCACCATTGTTTCGTGAATTCTCTGCTCCTGTTCTTCTCGCACGTGCCTCAGTTGTTTCATGCACTCTTTCAGCGCACCATCCAAATGAGACACTCGGTCTTCCGTCGCCAACTTGTGTTGGATTGTCAGATCTAGTTGTTGTTTCAGAGCCGCTGCCTCGGCCTCGGCTTTCTCCCATCCTGATCACAGCAGCAAGTCCAAGGACCGACTCAGCTCACGATTTGCATGGGACCGACGGAACCACCATACCGACTGAAAATCTCCAGGCTCTCGTACAAATGTACGACCGCAAATCACCGAGATAGCGCACAAATCAAACCATACTCTCCAGGCAAATGTTGTTCCGGGTTCACGCTCGCTCAAAGAATTACAGAGAAAGACTGGGCGGGACTGAAGGGCACACGGGGCCCGAGAGGAAGTACGGGAATCGGTGAGCTCAACTTAGAGGGCTTGTACAGCTCCATTTCGAACAAGCCCATGTCCGCCGTTTTATGAATCCAACACGTTAGACATGAGCCACGGCACAGCTGAGCTGGATTCGAAACAAGCAAGCAAAATAATCCGACGAGCTCTGAGTGATCTGTACTACTTGAATCACTCTTGGATTCAGCCGGGCGCGCGACCGCAAGCATGGAATCAGCACGCAAAATTCACTTACCAGAGACAGCTTCTTCGGCGACCTTCGCGTGCTGCTTGACCAAGCTGTCCTTGGCTGTTATCTCTGTGATGGCCACGGACAGCTTGTCGCTTAAGTTCTTCAGCTTCGCCTCCGATTGCTGCCATTGTGTCAGGACGTCGCTCGACGAGCGATTGTGGTCCGACACGACTTTGGACACATCCTGGGCAACCATGGACAGACGAGGCCGGCGGTAAGGTGAATGTTGCGAAGTCGGCTCGGAAAAGCCAGCAACTATCGTGCAACAGAGTGGAAGTCGTGCTACATACCCTGTCAAATTCATACTTCTGGCCCACGATGATTTTGCCCACTTCACGACTTCCCCTCCCGCTTACTTCCTTACAATACTAATACGACGTCGATCAGACAGGACCATCCATCATGCTCGGGAGATAATGAGAGGGACGGAGTCAAGAAGATATACAAAGTCAAGAGAGGTGAAAAATCCTTCCGAGGACTCTCCAAGCAAGACATCGGCAGCATGGAGAGGACGAGCAATTCACCTGCTCGTCAAAAAACTTGGAGGAGTGAGGAGAGGGTCGCGGTGAAGACTCGGTGGAATCTGGAGCAGAGGCAACCTTCTCCTGCGATTTCTTCTTCCACGGCCAACTACGCTTGGATTCCGCCATATTTGGAACTTAACGAATCGTTCCCTCCCCGACGCCTGCAATGCAATACAGAGCCACGGTTAAGAACACGAAGAGATCACGAGGTGCATCACTCGAAACCGAACCCCGCAAAAACATTGTTTCCTCACGATTGGAGTTGAGCTTTTGGAACTATCGAACACTCGAGCTAGCAGAGCAACGCGTCAAATGACAGTGCGAATGCACCGCTGACACCAGTCCACTGTGAGCGTGGAACTCAGGCGGCAGGCTTCGCGACACAAAACTATCTCAAAGTCTACCGCTAGTCAATTTGGCAATGCAGACTTCCAAACGCAGTGCTTTACGAGGTGAGCAACGGTGGGAAACCTCACGCCGCCAGCTTCTACCACGAAATTGACCCCACACACGAGCAGCCTACTGCCTCGGAGAACTGGCAAAGAGGTGGAGACTATGGAATCGAAACAGGCGTGGAGAAAAAAGAGTGAGGACCATAAATGTCGGGTTAAGAACGACGTACCTCAATAATCGTTATCCAATTACGCTCAAATTTCGATTCCCTGAAGAGCAACAGACCAAAGACATGTCAAGGACAGAAAGCAGGGCAGTGGAAACACAAGGACGCACTCTGCGGGCTGGGCACAGACACATGGAATCAGAGAACCGTCGAATGTTCGAAAGCTACAATTGAAGCGAGTGACGACAGTCCCCCGATTCTAGTTGACCCCAACCCAAAGCTCACGGCGGACGCTGGACAGGGGCAGTTTTGCTTCCCATCCTTCCCTGACCGGGCACGAAAGGGCAAAGAAATCGTCCGCACGACGTCCTCTACCTCAATCTGCATCTCCCAGCGCGCCATTGACTTTGCGAGTTCGTCTCGAAGGATGGCCAAACGAAGCACTCCCGACAGATCCATGGGCACCGAGGCACCGCATGTGGCCCACTGGCTGGACGGATCGCCTGGCCGAAGGGTGGACCAGGAAAGCCAAAGCGCGAGCCCCAGACAAAAAGGAGGTCGACGACGACGACGACGACTTTCCACTTTGCGCTAGCAGAATGTTTAAACCCGTCGTTCCTCTGCGCACTGGCGGCAGAGAGGGGGGCCCGAGGCGCTTCTCACAAGGCGTTCGAGAGCCAATGCGACAAGTTCGTACGCACGGCGATCTGCGTGGTGCGAAGAAGCGCTATCACGTGGAGGCCCAGATGCGGTGACATCGACGAGATTGTGCGATCGCAGCTGTACAGCATCGCGAGCTCGCAGGCCAGGCACCAGCGGCATCAATTCATGCTGCAGCCTCGACAGCAGGTTCCGCCGGCTGGTGTCGGCCGGAGGATGTGAGATGGCACGGGCAAATCTGATCCTCCGATTCACCGCCGAAGCGCTTCTAACGAGAAAAGGCACTCAGCTCCGAGCTTCAACGACGAGGGGCGACGGTGCGTCGTCACCGATCTCGGTTGACCTCTTACGGAGCCGTGTTGTCTCCCGGGGCCGCAACTCCCGCTGGATGCCCGGGGCAATGGGCTGGTCAGCTGCTGCTCTCAAGCCGGAAATCTATGGCCCTCACGGCCCAGACCGCTCGAGAAAAGAAGCGAGACTCGAGACTTGACGCGGTCTCGAGCTATGGCAGCAATCCTTCCTTGCAGCATTCTAACAATGACTGGCTCTCGTGCGTTTCACGTGAATGCGGCGGGGCCTGAGTTCACTCACCTGCACACATTGTTGTGGATCCTTGTTGGCCCTCCTTCCCCACAGTCTCCCCTGCCTGCGCAAGATTCTGGCCGTGCACAAGCTCATGGCTGATTGTCGTCGATCCGGCGGAAAGTGATAAACTCATACGGTAGCCGTCATTAACGAAGAGGCTCGCGTGGAGAAGCCGCTCACTGCTACGGGCTGAAAATGTCGAGATGCGCAGATGTGGGCACGGGGCTCGTGGAGCGTAGCCTGCCTGCTGAGTTGTTGTGGACACTCGGAGGATTAGCAGCACAAGCTTTGGTCGAGAGGTGGCGGAGAGCCTGCGGGCAGCTGCCACCGCCGATGGTGTAGATCCCCCGGACCAGAGTGTGTCGCAATTGTCCGCGGAATTCCTGCTGCTGCAAGTGTGGAGAAATGCGCTCAATTAGCTGACGAACCGGCGAGAGGGGAGGAAACTCTGAGGCTGTTCCCGATTCTCCAGTAATCGGCGGTGGATCAGTGATTGCGAAAGACAGTGTTGGACGGATGGGAGATCCGAATTGAGAGCGAGTGGAAGAATGGGCCCAGGGAAGAATTGGCAATTGCTTCTCGACGAATACTGTCCCCGCTGCAGGACATTGACCAGACTAATGCTGAGGAAGAGGAGCGACCCGCTGAAGGCACAACGACAAGGCAGCAGTTGGAACTGAAGCTGCAGCTGCTGCTGCTGCTGATGAGACGAAGGAGAGCCTCCAGACTACACAAATGTGCGAAACATGAACGGGGCAGTGGCTGTGGCGTGCTCCTGGTGTGACTTCCTACCTTCAACAACACTGCCTCCCGTACCGTCTGCCCTCGGGGCTCAGGAGCCAGGTCGAGTGAGTGGCATTCACAGAAGGACGAGGAGGCGAGGGACGCACTGCACTGCAGTACAACCCACGCTCCCGAGGAGGAGACGAGATGGGGTGATCAAAAGTTACTCGACAGCGGCGGCAGCAGCGCAACCCCCGAGCCTCATGCCTCGGAATGTTCAACTCGTCGTCGACTCGACCACCTAGATCCGACGACACCGAGCATTCATTCGAATCCTCCCTCGGCCTCACTCCTCCCGAACTCCGTCCCTCCTCCTCTCGTTCTTCAGGGAGGGCCTCTGGAAAAAAATAGAGGCAAAACGCACACTCGCTCCCACCCAAACTTCTCGCAAAGCAAAAATCTAGACTCCAGCCGTCCGATTGAGCCCAGGCCTGGCCCGACACCGTGCCCTTGACCGAGTCGAGTCTGCTGCGTAGGCTTTGCTGGATTGAAATCCGAAAATAAGAATCTACAGAGTACAACTACTCTACGGCCTGCACTCGTAGTTACTACAACTCCTCCTCCTCCCCTCGTCGTCGTCTCCTCTCCCTCTCGGGTATCAGTCTCCCTTCGCTACTGCTCTCCAACTCCTCGTTGTCGTCGTTCAGCTCTCGTAGCCTCCTCCTCCTACTCCTAGCGAGGGAGTGAGTGAGTGAGCGAGCGAATGAGTTGGATGAGTTGTGCTGTGTATGCGCGCTTTGCTGTGAGCTGGAGCTCTCGCAGAAAGCGAAGCGTAAGAGGAAAGGATGAGCGCCTCGGCCTCCTCTGTCTGGACAAACACGAGCCCCCGGGCAGCCCTTGACCATTGCCAGCACTCACTCTCTCACTCTCTCTCTCTCTCTCTCCCCCCCTGCAAAGCCAAGTGCGGTACACTGGGCCCCCTTTCTGCTCACAGCCCCGAGACCGGCCGGGGGGGAGGGGGGGGGGGGGGGGGGCCGCGACTCGCGGCGCTCTCCACCGACTTCACCGGTCGTCGGAGTTCGAACCCCGGAGGGCGACCGGAGGGTGAGCTCGGCGGTAGAGGAACACGGACAAGAACGCGACTGACGTTCGCCACGAGGGCATGCAGGAAAAACCGGCCGCGCATGCCTCAGTGCTGCTGCTGCCCAGTGCGTCGTCGCGCCCGTCCGCTTTCGCTTTCGCTTTCCCTCGGGGATCACAGAACATGGATATCCGAGTACAGGCCCTTGGCTCTCGCCCTCTGCGCTCCGCTGCTGCTGCACATGTTGGTCGCGCTAAAATAATGCGGGAAAATCACTAGTTTTGAAATCGGATGGGTCCGGGGCTGCACCTCTGGCTCCCTGCCGCTGCTGCTGCTGCTGCCTCTGATGCTCTGATGCCCTGCCTGCATGGGATTTACTGGTCCACACATGTCTGACTTCGCACCCCTCGTCCGCCCTTTTTGCTGTCTCTCGATATCCACATCCCCCGCTTTCAAAATCTCTGCCTTCGGCGCACATCGCCATTTAATCCCACCCCCCTCTCCCCCGCGGTGACCTAGCCGGCCCCCCAACGGTTCTCTCCCTCTCGGCGTCCGTCCCGTCCATCCGGTCGTCCGTCCGTCCCGTCGCAGGCCACGCTGCCTGGACGGGCATCTCGGCGGGCGGGCGGGCGGGCGAAGGCTGGTGGCTGATGCTGATGAGGACGCGACTGGGCGCAGCGGAGCAGCGTGACGTCGACTTGTCAGTCCGTCATGATGCCGGGACCGAGCTGTTCCCAGGGAGAGGGAGCCAGAGGGGAGGCGCTCTAATAACAACCTCCAGGCATTCTGTTCACGTCGGTTGACTTGCGATCCGCGGGTTCAAGTGGCACCAAAGCTACTTCTATGTCGCGCATCTTCCATCCTTCCTTCTTATTTGGACGAAGACGAGGCGCGGCGGGCCAAGGCCAGCGTACGTACGTACACACTCACCGGCTTGCCCGTATGCGACAGGCACGGTGCTGGCGGAATTTCGTAGAGTAGAGAGGAATTCTCCTCTCCTTAAATACATGAACGACAAATGCACTTTCGCCTTCATCATGGGAAGTCCTATTTATATTTTCACGAGGACGTGCTCGAGTCCAAGTATTATACAATATCTATCCGAGACAAGGGTTCATTTTATTGCGCTCGAACTGGGCCTGTCTCGTTGCGTTCCAGAGATGTCCCTTTTTCTAATTCTCGCTGGCCTACGGAGCAAGGGACGAAGGTTAGATCAGGTTAGGTTAGGCCAGGCCAGGCCAGGCCAGGTCAGGTCAGGTTAGAGCGGGAGAGAGAGAGGGAGAAAGAGGATCATAATCCGAGGGGGGGTCTCGAGACTTGCTCGACACGGTCGGTCCATGCCCGATTCCCTGAAACTTTGGGGAAATGAGACATCGAGAGGGCAAGACAAGTTGAGTCCCATGCAAGCAGGAACTGTCATCATGAAATGAACGTCCATGCACAAGGCCCCAGATCCCGAAATTTCGTGATGATAAGAAGGCAATGAAGAACAAAAAGCGCGAGGAGGCACCATTCGATAAAAACAGCTTTGCGAGCCATGAGCCATGAGCGCGTGGCTTTTCTCGACGGCGTAGCTAGGCCGGACTGGCTCCGTCTTCCGAGCCTCAGCAAGTGCCCGTCGCCCTGCCGGGTCATAATGCACGAGATCTATGGAGCGAGCGCGAAAGAGAAAGAGAGGTGCAGCTTTCAAGTGTGATCAGTTCGGTTCCTCTGCGCGATCTACTTTTGGAGATCCCAGCAACGCAGCGGGGCGCGAGAGATAGCCTGATTTCCTCTCTACTCGAATGACGACGACGACGACGATCTTCTTCGGGACAGGCCCCTGGTCAGAGAATGGGGACCGTGGTTGCGTCAATGGCTTCGCCAGCACCTGGTAACTATTTGATGACAAAGCACTTTCTTAACAATTCATCGTCGTCCAGTCGGGCGAAAAGGCGAGGCGCATCTGATGATCTGACTGACCCGCACCCACGGGCCCAGCCATCCAAAAGAACGCAAGTTGATTTCGGGGCCCGGTAGTGCTCTGGTCAAGTGTTATCTCGACATGACTTTTCTTCGATCCCCGGTGCAATCTACCTCTGGACATGTCATCCCGTGCCTTCCGGACGGTCGGTCGACTCGTGCTTACACGAAGCACAAAATCGATCTCTCGTCTACGTCATTCCTTGCTAGTTCTGCTTTTCGAGACACCGCGCGTGAAAATAGATATACATATAAATATCTGCCCTCCCTCTCGCTCTCTAACCCTTTCTCTCTTTCTCTTGACTCGTAAGCGAGCGGGCGCGAGAGAAAAGACTCCATCCCTCCCTCCTGGTCCAAGTCGAAGTTGAAGAAGTCGAAGAAGTCGAAGAAGGGAAGAGACGAGCCAAGTCCTCGGGGGAAAAACTCGAGTGACAGCCATTAACCCATTCATTTACAGCGACTCTCCACTAGGGAAGGAAGGCCACACATTGTACATCGTTGGGTTGTTGCACTATAATTCGTGGTGTGGAGGAAAGTCAATAAAGCCATGTACAGCGGATGGAGTTCATTATCATACTCTTTTGTCCATCGAACCTATCCGGATGCAAATTTTTATTTCTACGCGAAAACACGCTATCTTGATGATTCATTGGGTCCATAATTGAGTGAGTGGAGTATAATTTCTCGTGTGACTAGTGCTGCCATGATGGCGGGGCACAGAGAGCGCATCCCTATACGAATTCGACATCCTCGCTGTCCTCGGTGCAACGACGTTCACTGACATTTGTTCATCTTGGCCTACTCGTTCCACATGCGCTTACCTCACCGCACACACATTCAACATCTCGTCGCTTGAGCGACGCCAACCACCATGTGCCGAGCTCTCGAGCAGCTAGCCCCCGGAGCGCTCGAGTCCACATCCGCAAGGATGATTTCAGCACTAACTCGGTGACTTGCAGCAGCACGTAGGCAGCGAAATGATAATTTAGTCGCCGATGAGCTTTCCTCGAATTGTTTATAGTCATCGCTCCCCATGTCGACAATTGTGATGCACCGTTCGTACATCGCTCTCGGAACGTCACCGGAACTTACAGCTCGAAACTCTTGTACAAGTCCAAAAGTCGACCACTGCCATCTTCACCCCAAGCCCCATTTCCGAATTATTGTCCGGCACCGGAACGTGCTCTGCAGCCTTATCTGGATTATGAAGATTATCGTCTCGTGTCGAAGCGGTGAAATCTTCCTTCCACCTCCGTCCGTCCGTCCGTCCGTCCGTCAGTGTCGTCGTCTTCGGCTTGCTGCCCATCTTTTCTTTTGCCCCTTAGACAAAGCTTGCCGAGTCTATTTCTGGAAGTGCACCGCCAGTTTGTATGCATGAATGTGTGCGATGCTCGACACCGATGATTCTCAGCGGTTTTCGAAATTGATCCGCACCAAAATCTGCGGGATTGGCATCTTTTGCATAAAACTCAGCCCCATCTCCTCCTTTCCATGAAAATCGTTCCTCTTTATCTTCCCATTCCCATAAAATTTTCAGGACAAAATTGTGTAAAGAAGTAGTTTCTACACGGTCTAACGAATTTTGATATCAGTATTTTTGGTGTAACCCACCCGAACTAAACCATAGCAAAATGTGTGCAAGTTGTAAATATCGGTAAAATATATTTTACGGGAATGTCGACTCGAAGAACTCGGTGGCGTAGCTTTATGAATACGTGAAATATTCTCCCGGGAGGCTCTGTGAGGGACCTGTTGGGAACACCCTACTGGCCTGCTGGAAACGATGAGTTCAAACTGCCATAGCTTCTATGTACACCGAGAAATATTCTCCCGGAAATCTGTGTGACGGAACTGTTTGCAAAAGCCCCCACTGTACTGCCACAGTACACGGTTTCCAAACCCCCACATTTGCTGGATTTGCCCAACCATGAATATACTGCAGGCTGCTGCTGGTAAATAAAGGTCGACCGCTCCTTTCTACCCTGACAATGTTATCATACCAAATACATCAGGGCTGTACTGTACTGAGCTCGCTCGCTCGCAAGGGATGCGTAGAGGACGGATGCCCAGCCACAATTCGAATTCGAGGGCCAGTATGCCTCGTTCTCTACCAAGCAAGCGAGCCAGCCAGCGAGCAAGCCAGCCGGCCGGCCAGCTAGTCAGCTTCAACTATATCTTCTGCAACAGGAACTCTGAAACCTCCAGCCTGCCTGTTCCCTACCTTTTTCTGTAACTTTCTGTATGATCGATCCCTATCTCAAAAGTGTAAGGAGTGAGGGAGTAGACCATTGTACGTGGCTGGACTCCACAAAAACTACATAATAATGATACAAGGCTCACGTTTTCCTCGAAAACACGAAAAACGTCGTTAGTATACATCCCCTCCACGTTATCATCTGAAGATGGCCTCTTGGTGAATCTACGACATTCATACCTTAACAACGGGTAATACGGAAATTACTCGGGCTTCTTATATCTTCGAAAATCCCTCGCTTTCTGTCTTCTTTATGTGTCTTTCTGTTATTTCGTCCCCATTGATATATATATATATATATATATATATGTATATATGCAAGTTCGCATCTAGCTCTTGTCGAAATGCAATTTGGAAATGTATAAATTAACGCAAGTAACGCGAGCGACTTATCTTCTGAATTCATCTTACGACCCCGTCCATTGAGCACTCATCCCAATCCGGATACTCGATTGTCAAGTGTACGTACGTGAATGAGTACAGTTTATCCCTTAGCTATGTTGGCGTCGCATTGGGTGAACGAAGAGTAGGCTGTGAGAGTTGGAACTGATCAGATCATTTCTACTTTACCATCTGGTATCTCCTTTATTCCCAGAGTTCTGCCGTGGAAAGGCTATGGAAGCCACCGCGCTCTGAATATGATGTCTCCTTTATCA